ACAATTTTGCATGTTGTGGCAAATCATTATGAGTTTTTCAATATTTTATTTGTTTTCAGCACACCAAAATAAATGGAAATTAGATGAAAATAATCAAGCAGCTTTTTAGTCGCAGATCTGTGGAATCTATATACTGTAATTGTGATTCCTTCACCATCTTGTAACTGATAAGTTGAGCTTTAAATTTCATAATGATAGAGCATTCTTATTTTAAAAAAAATGACTATAGGTTAACTGTTCCAAATTCACTTTGTGGCATAAATATAGTCCTATGATATAGCAATTATAGTCAGACTCTGCTGCAATTATTCATCTTATTGTCAAAATGTTACCTCATAAGGTTTCTAAAACTTTCTCTTCTCATGAAGTCTTCATTTCTATTGTGTGCTGCTGTTAAAATGCTTAAATTCAGTGTCAGCATATTAGATGTAACCTTTTATTGCTGTTGACAACAGCAAATAAGTTAAGTAAATCTTCATTTTGCTGAACTCTTGAAGGAAGTGTGGTATCAGCAGATTTTGTTACTGGACAGGTGAGAGATTTTCAAGAGTAGACTTAATTTCTTTTGTGTGTTTGATTGTCACTGTAAGATACATTACTTTCTGAGAGAGATATTTTAAAAGTAAACCTTTTGTTGATGATTTGAGCAATGTAAGGTCAAAAATAATGCTGGTTTTCATTTTACTTGCTTTCTGAGTTCCTTTTGAGTAACTTTAAATTCCTTAAGATTTGAAAGACATCCCGTAGATTCTACATTCCACTGTAAAGAAAAAAGACTTCCTTACATAAGCCATAAAAGCAAAACATTTAAAGATATGTTTATAATGAATGGCAGAAATAGAGCCAATTTTATAATGAATGGGATACATTTTTGTTTAAAATTTGGTTGTAACAAACATGCAATTTTTTGAGATTATAGGTCAAAATGCATTTATATATCAACATTTGCTTCTTTGATACTTGTTTTTAGCTTGTATATCTACATTGTGATTTTACATTGAACACTGCATGGGTAGAGCACTAAAGTATAAATAGAGGAGGGGTTACTTATTGTATTACTCTACTGAGTATTCAAATTTTCTCTTTCGGTTGACCAGCATAAAATATTCAACACTGCCAAATGTAGAAAGTATGATTCTACTTTCCTTGGAAAGCCTGTCCATTTTTTTCTTGGACTGCAGTGTTTGCTTGACGTTTGTGCTAATTAATTGTCTGGAGGACATTTGTCGAGATGCTGTGAATAGATAAGATGATGTGAATAGAAGACATTTTGAGGGAAAAAGCAATCCTCTCAGTTTGACTGATTGTGTAATTATACTTTGATATGTGAATCAAAGGTGTAGAATTAAATATTTCAAGACCTTGGTGTTAATATGTCATACAGTACCAATATGTGTAGTGATTTAATGAATATCTGAGGATTAAAAGTCAGAGGAGCAAGAGTTTCCTTTGCAAAACTTGGATAATTGCCCAAAGCTTCTGTGTATCTGAAAACAGCAGAATGATTGTATGCTATCTGAATTAGGCAAATTAACCACAATGTTGTGATTCTTTGGTACTGCTCTCTGTGCACAATTATTACACAAGTTGTATTTTGGAGGATTAATTTCATTATTGAACATCTACAGTGTTCTTGGTCAATCCAAAATGTTAATAAACCTGAACATTTAAGAACGTAAAAGTGAGGTTTTGGCTTTCTTAGGAGAATATCTATGTGTGCAGAATTATTATGCAATTAAATGAAAATGAAAACTTGTCCATCTCATTCCTTTATTTACATCTGTTAAAGTGAGAATAATAAACAAACAACTCAAAATGTACAAATAAATATTTCTGACAGTTAAAAAAAAATGACCAATACAGCTACACTTCTTTTCAGTAACAGTCATAATAAGCCTTCCATTCATGGAGTCTGTCAGTTTCTTGATCTGTTGACGATCAACTTTTTGTGCAGCAGCAACCACCGTCTCCCAGACACTGTTCAGAGAGGTGTGTTGTTTTCTTTCACCGTAAATCTCTTATTTAAAAAAGGCTCACAAATTCTCAATAGGGTTTATGTCAACTGAGGAAGGGGGTCATTATTCTTTCATTTTTAAGGCCTTTACTGGCTAGCCACACAGTGGAGTATTTGATGCATGCGATGGAGCATTGTCCTGCATAAAAATCACGGTGGTCTTGAAAGATGCAGACTTTTTCCTGTACCAGTGCTTGAAGAAAGTGTCTCCTAGCAGTAGGTTTGGAAGTTGATTTTGAGTCCATCTTCAACCCAAAAAGGTCCACCTAGCTCATCTTTAATAATATCAGCTCATACCAGTACCCCACCTCCACCTTGTTGGCATCTGAGTCGAAGTGGAGTTCTGTTCTCATTACTGATCCAGTCATGGGCCCATCAATCTGGTCCATCAAGATTCACTCTCATTTCCTCAGTCCATAAAAACTTTGAAAAAATCTGTCTTCACATATTTCTTGGCCCAGTCTTGCCATTTCAATTTATTGTCTTGTTCAGTGGTGGTCAGGTTTCAGCCTTCCTTACCGTGGCCATGTCTCTGAGCACTGAACATCTTGAATTTCTTGCCACTCCAGGTAGGTTGCAGTTCTCGAATATGGCAGCACTGGAGGATACTGGATAACTGGTAGCTTCACATTTGATTCTTCTCAAATCTTTGGCAGTTAATGTGTGTCTTTTTTTCTCAACACACTTCTTATGATCCTGTTAACTATTTGCAACAAAACATTTGATGGTTCTGTGATCACGCCCAAATATCTTAGCAATTTCAAGAGTGCTGCATCCTTCTGAATTTTTTTTTTACAATTGTTGACTTTTCAGAGTCAGTTAAATCTCTTTTTTCTCCTGTTTTGTCTGAAGAAAAGAAGCTGCCGAATAATTATGCACACCTTGATATAGGATGTTGATTTCCTTAGGCCACAGTCTCTCTCATTACACAAAAACACATCACCTGATATGTTTATAGCCAATAAGCACTGAAGTTTATACAGATTGGAGGTAGAAAATATGCATAAAATAATAATATGGTCAAAATACACAATGCCTAACAATTTATTGTGCACACAGTATAGGGATGCAGAAAACGCTGTCCTTTGGCTAGAATATCATTGCAATTTTACAGATCTAAATTTCCAACTCTTGATCCTCAAAGAAAAGAAGTCTGATTTTATTGAGGAGTGAATTCCATTAAATAAGAGTAAAGTTTTGAATTGTACTGTTAATTTATTAACTTTTTCTACTTTATAATTTCTTTCTCCTCTTATATATGGTTTTTAGGAGCCTATGTCTGATGAAGAAACAACAGATGAGTCTGAGGTAAGATTATTTCGAAGGGCCTTCATTTTTGCAATGTGCAGTTTCATTAAATGTACAGTCTTTTTTAGTAAATAAGTTTACATGCCTTTATTTTTCCCCATTCCTGATTTTTCTGCTTCATTGTAGATATGGAAACTTTTTTATTTACAGAGGATTGATTATAGTTTTGGTAAGGATTGGCAAGGGACTTCTTAAGCTTTAGTTAAAAATGGGATCTGTGCTGCTACTGAAGGTGCAACACTAGTGATAATAAATATGGATAAAGTTTTTCTGCTAAAATAATATATCTTAACTAATCATGAGAAGAATTGAAACCTATATGCTGTTGTTTTTGTTTTGCATATATAAAATGAGATTGATACAAAGAAAAATTTGTATTTATTATAATGCTATAATTCGTTTCATTTATTTTGTCAAATTGGGCCTTTGAACCATATGATTGTCCACAATGCACACATTGTTTTATTATTTTTTAAAAATATATTTAAATGGAATGAAAATTGTTTTTGAAATGACTTTATAAGCACATATTTGTACAAGGAACTATTTACAAAATTGCAATTCACTGTCGCATGGTACTAGTAAAGATTGGTGAAACATGAGTTATATTAATGCGTGTTTCATCATTATATAAGAAGACAATGATAGTGGATCAACTCTAGTCTTATTTCCAACTTTCTTTTTGTAGGCAAGGTTATTAAAAAGAAGGTAGTCTTGGCTTTGACAAAAGGGATGATCTGGAACTTTTCAGTTTGGTTTCAGGCTGATTATGGCACTGAGATGGCATTGATTATCTTTGATCAGTTCAGGGCAGGAGCAATTTACAGGAGTGATTTGTGATCTTTCTTTCTGGCTTCCCTGATCATTTTGCCTATGGGAAGCCACCAGCATATTGCTCCCAACAATCTGGGACCTCATTTTACTGACTTCAAAAGGATGGAAGGCTGCGTCAACCTTGAGCCGGTGAAACTCAAACTGCTGACAGCCAGCAGAAATAGCCTGCAATACTGCATTCTAACCACGGCACCACCACAGCTCTTGCACCATAATGATTGGAATAGATAGGATATTTTATTCTTCTATAAATAGATCTTGGTTATACATAACAAATTATATATGCTGTCTTGTTCCAGAAGTACACAGTATATAGTTTTTTTAATCTCTGGGATTCCTGTTTTTTACATAGGTAAACCTATACACATTCCCCAAAACGAGCAAAAATCAGCCCATTTTTGCAAAAACGGGCTTGTTTTTGGTTTAAAAAACAGCATGTACAGCCTTCAGGAGCCTTGCAGAGTGCTTCTGGGGACTGGGGAGCAAAATACCACCTGTTTTTCGCTAATTTCTGCCCTCCCCAGGAGCACTCTGCAAGGCTCCTAAAGGCTATGCATGGCCATTTTGCTGAAGGGGGCGGGGTTTGGGAAGGCAAAAAAAATATGCTGTATTCAGTGTATGACACACCCAGATTTTCAGCCTCTTTTTTGACAAAAAAAGGTACATCTTATACTCTGAAAAATAGGTACATTTTTTTTCTTTCTATGCAGAAAATCAATTGGACCTCTTTTTACTGTGCTTTACAAAAATCTACATTTATGTTCTGATCTGAAATTTGAGAGATGTAAAAATATACTGGTAATAAATCATGAGTATTGTTATTGATTGATTGATTGATTGAAATTATTTGCTGCCCATCTGTTAATGAATGACTGGGTGGTTTCCAGCATTAAAAATCCTAACAAATAAATATATTTAAAAGAATAAACATAGAAATCTCAGTCAAGATAAAATACAATTAAAGGATAGGGAGAGAAAAAACAGAATGCCCTGGGAGGAGGTATTGACTCTTAATTCAACAACCACCTTCATTGTGATGTTCCCACAGTGCGATCCCAAGCCATCTACCAGAGCCAGGTCTTTAGAAGGGTGGGAGCCAATCTCACCTCAGGGGTTAGTTGCTTCAAAAGGCAGGAGGAGCCATGGAAGAGAAAGTTCTTCCCCTGGACAGTTCCAGCCAGTCATAGTCATTTTGTTTCTGTAAGAGCATGTCATTGCCAGCCACAATGGGTTTTGTGAACCCTTTTGAACACAGAAATTCAGATAACATATTTTTTTGTTTTATATGGGACTCATCAGCTGTTATTGTATAAACTATATTCATTACTTTCTGTCTCAAACACAACATCAAGGTGTGGTTGCTGCTCTCATTTTACGAGTTAATTTCCGAGACTTGGGTTATAGAACAGTTGTTAAATGTGTAGAAGAATGGTGAAGAATATAATAAGAATATAGTAATTATTTATCATTTTGAATGGGTAGGTGGTTTAAATAATATATTGAGGCATAATGCATCAATTTTAAAAACATATTCATGGTGGTATAAAATTAAAATTTTAATATATGTTATATTAAGTAATATTAATATATGTTATATTTAGAAACCAAATTATTTATTCTTTGATTTTCATTGTTCAAGGGTAAAAAATAGTTAATTTAATGAACTATTAATATTAACTAAAAATGTCAATTTGAAGATTATGGAATTTGTGCAGTACATACTGCACAAATGTAATGCAGTTTGAAGTCCTGCTGTATCAACAAAGTGAGTGTCTTTGAAGTATTAGTCTAGTGGAATAAACCTTTTTTTCCTTGAGTTCAGTTTCTGGATAAAGGCAACATTGCTTATTATTAGTTTCTGAAAGACAGGATTTTTTAGTATTATTCCCGGTTTGTATACATTATCATATAAACTGCCTGCATCTAAGTATCAGGTTGAAATCAGGTATCTTCTGAAGAAAGACTAGCCAGGGCCAAAACGATGGAAGAAAATCAAGAGGGACATCAATGCATAGAAAACAATGAAGTGTTATTATCTGTGATTCTCATCCTTGGAAATGTTCAGATGTGTGGATTTCATTTCCCAGAATTCTTGTAGTATTGTGGCTGTGAAATTCTGGGAATTGAAATCCACATATTTTAAAGTTATCAGGGATAAAAAATATTGTGATGTGTAATAAAGAGGAGAGGGAATGAAAGTTTAAAGGACTTGTAGAAGTGCTCCTTCATATTTTAGAGATAGCAGTGACTTACAAAAAGTTTGTGTTCTAAGATAATTGCATATTTCTTAGTAATTATCTAAACACTACAGTAAGCATTTCTAATAATTTGCTGAAATTATGATTATAGTCAATGTTTAAGCAATTTAGAAGTCATGGAAAATGTGTTATCAAATCAGAAGTTTTCCATGCACATGGAAGAAAATAATGGGAATGTGTGAGGTTATTTTTCCCTACTTCACTATATCTGTATTTTGGAACAGCAAAATTATATAAGAACTCTGCATATTTCTCCTTCATCCTAGTCGCTAATACTCATTCAGACTTAGTTGCGATGATATCACAAACTTATAGGAGAGGCTAGACCATGTAACTTAAATTGTGCTAAAGTATATTATAGTAGGCTTCAGAATATTGCTCTTATGATTCCCAAGCTATAGTTCTGAAAGTTTCTTGAATCCCATTGGTGATATCCAAGAAACATAATATGCAGTATGCAAAAGAATCTCAATATAATGGATTGAATTTCACATAATTTCAATAATAATATTAATTAAAATTTTAAAATACAAATATAACAAACAAATGCAAATTAAGAAAAATCTTAAAAATAAAAAGTTCAGAGAAATAAAGGAAGAAGAAACATATGTAAAAGGAAAAAATATAAAAACTATATACTTTCAATAGCGAGCTGGAGACCATGTTAGGGAATCAGAATGGTTCACTTAATCCCTGGGCCACATGGCTGTGTCCCAGAAGGAGCTGCTATTTTGGAGCAGCCACAATTTCCTCTGGCTGCTTAGAAAATGAATGCAACCATGAAATCTGAAGCTCTGGAGATCTTCAAAAGGTAAATGAGAGGTGGGGGGCAGGGTGGGAAGCCTCCTGAAGGCTCCAGAAGGCGAAAAATGGCCCTACGGACAAACCGGAAGTCTCAATTCTCAAACTTCCAGGTTCCCCGTAGGTTTGTTTTTTGCCCTCTGGAGCCTTCAGGGCCCTTTAGGAGGCTTTCCTGAAGGCTCAAGAGAGCAAAAACCAGCTCTATGAGCAAACCAGAAGTGACTTCCGGTTTGTCTGTAGGTCCGTTTTCCACCTTCTGGCGGCTTCAGGGAAGCTTCTGAGGCCTCCAGAGGGCACCCAGGGGAGGCAGGGGACGCTGTTTTGGCCCTCCCCAGGCTCCTAGAAAGCCCCTGGAGCCCCTGGGGAGGGCGAAAAAAAATTCCAAAAATGGAGGGTGGGTGGGCTCATAGCGTTATGGGTGTGGCACGCCTGTGCACGACCCCCCTGTGCTCCCTCTGCTTTTGGCACAGAAGCCAAAGAAATTTCGCCATCACTGGCCTAGGCTATAGTAAGACAAATCTCTGTAGTACTACTGAGAAGATCTGTGTTACAACAGTTGGATTATTATGCTCTCCATGATTTTATAATCCAATGTAGCATTCAGCAAAAAACATTGTTTTTCAAATTCCAACTCATCTTTGGTGCTAGCAGCTTCTCCAAAAAACGCTGAAGTTGGCATTTTATACTGATAGCATGGCTGTAATTAATACAACATAGAATAACAAAATCTTGTTGCCTTTCTCTTCACCTTGTATTCTATGTGCTTAGTATACAGCTGAAGGATGTTGCCTCTCCAATCTTCCCAAGAAAGCAGGACTCTTGAAATTGCAGTTGTTCCAAAAGGAGCTTTTATTGAAAGGCTTGTGATAGCAAGAGGTCTAGACAGGAAGTAAACTTTTCCACTTAAAAAACTGCAATTTAAAGCAGTGCAAACAAAACCCCTCCCACAGTACAATAATGCAGGAAACAGAAACTTCATGTAGAGATCTCTCTAAGCAGGAAATAGAAAGAGAAACTTCAAGTAGGGAGCCCTCCAATCCTTCCCCCTCCCACCAGAATGCCAGCGTCCCAATAGAAATATATGGGACCTGACCATAGCTAATATAT